CGACGCTGACGGAAGACGATTGCGAACCCGTCGCCGAGGGGTCGGCTGAGGGGTCCAGAGGGGGGGCGCTGGAGACCGGGAACGAAGATCCGAGGACGCCGTAAAGATAGTGGATGATTTTAATTAGATATTTAATTGCCGAAGCTCGGAAAAAATTGTCGTTTGCCCGTTTCGAGTCGCGTTTTTCCGTCGTTAACTACGTGTAAATTACTGCAGTAATAGTCGGGCTAAATTAAAATCAAATGATTAATTTAACGGAGGCTGGAATTGCAGCTTCATCAAGTTAACTATGACAGCCGTTCGTTCTCAAACTGCGAAGATCTTGTCTATGATTACGTGTGACGAGAGCGCGAGTTTTCTGCTCCATTAAACAGTTTTTTATTGTCTATAATGTTATTGCATTGGGGGAAGTTAGCCATCTGTTCAACGTTGGTTTGATTTACTTCAAACAGAAAATTTTATTTAACTATTTTCTACAGGTGGATTCAGTAGTTTGGCAGTATATGGCTAATTATTGATATTTGCTAAAAAACATTTTTTTGTGATTCATTCCCACCAGCTAACCTACTGACGCTGATGAGTGGACAGCCCCTTCGGACTCCGCCGGAGGGTAGAGCGGAAGAGAGCCTCCTTTTAGGGATCGGGGGAATGGGTATTGGTGGTTGTTGTGGTGAGAAAGATGAGATGGACGAAATTAAGACAGAAGGGAGTGAAATTATCTGAGTAATATTACTCCCTCAGCATTTGCCTGCATGATACAAAGAAACCAGAGAAAAACTTGGACGAGGACAGACGGATCCGAAGGAATCCAACCGATGATGGGTGACCTCCGGAATGCTGAGCAATGGTCTAAACCTCTAGGCCATGCTGCTCAGTGATATTTGCTACTAACTGTACCATATTTGAGATGTTTGACTTAGGACCTAATTACGAAGTTATCTACCTGTCAGATTGAATATACTCAAATGATGCACCCCAAGCTTCAACCATAAGCGAATGAATCAACAAATTTTAGCTTGCAGCAAGCAGTAGGATCTATGACATTTAAAAGATTACGAATTATTTATAGTTGTTAATCGCTTGATAATTACTGACTGGGTTGTCTAATTATTGAAAAACCATATTTAGCAAAGAATCCAATTCTGTTTTTATTACCTCACCGGAAATACTCAAACAGAGGGCAGGTAATGAAGCCCTTGTTTAGTAATTCAAGAAATCACTTGCGAAAAAGTTTTTTAAAAGACTTTAGCTAATTGTTAATTCATACAAATTCAGATTCTCGCGGGGTTGGCGAGTAATAATAATTCAAAGAAGTAAAATTAAGCTTATAAAAATTTTCGTATCCAGGCTGTGTAAGGTAGAGAGGGGGATGAAGTCCCTTCGTCATATCGGGTCAGTTGGACCGTCTCTATCGCCATGGACAAATGCAAATCAGCCGCATTGTTGTCGACCGTGTCACGGCGTGCTACGATCGTGCCAGGAAAGAGTCGCATTATTAGGGCGCTTTTGTTTTACGCGGCCATGCTTGCTTGATCACCACAGCGAGCGCCTGGTCGTTATTTTGTTCGGAAATGGCTTTTTTAAATGCCGCTTCGAGATGCGAGGAATAAATTAATAACAACTGTTCGCCGGCCCGATCCCATCTATCCTCCCCCATCCGCCTTCACCCCCTTTGCGGCGACCGCTTCTTGGACCGCGTTGTTTCCTGTTCCGTTCGCAACCAGCGTAAATTAAAAAATCGGAAAAGACTAAATTTATACCCGTTGTTAAGCCGAGGATTTCGAAAATGAGGCCGTATAAATTATTTTCCTGTTTACACTTTTTCAATATCTGTGATCGTACGTCAGAATTTACTGGAACTTCTGATCATGGGTCATATTATATTGTTTGAAACTGATCGTGGGTCAAATAATGTTTGAAAAATTCATGAGTAACGGTAAAGATTTAGAATAACTATCGGGTTGTTCGGAAAGTCATTTCGTTTTTTCCCGACAGAGGATTTAATTGTATTCTTTTGCATCCAACTTCACATTTAAGCCGTATAATTTTTATATGCTTTGAGAGCTCATATAGCAAGGCTTGTGTGTGAAAAATTCCAATTAATTCTACGCAGTAGTTTTTGGTTGGTGCCCTTTT